GTATATTAAAACGTATTTGTGTTAAAAACTAAGACGGTGTATATCAGTCTTGCTGGCAAATATCGTAGATTGACTAATATATCAGCATATATTTAAATACTAAATTTAAAGTACAATATAACTACTAAATTTAAATTATCAGTTATCTCGGCTTCGGACTATTTGAAATTCTAATCCGTAACATCCGTTATACCTGTCCAGAACCCTTGAATAACAACTGATTATCCTTTTCTCGCACCTGACCAACATCTTTCTATTGATATAAGTACGTGTAACAGTTTTACATTAAATTACCACTATGAAAAAGAACATCATATTTATGATATACTATAATATAATGTGTTGATAATGTTAATGCAATAATATAAAAATATACTTATATAATAACAGCATGATAATATATTTCCATGATCCTCTTTTAAATTTTCTTGAATATTTTAGATGCTTTCCTTAGTTTACTTTCTTAACGTTTTGTTGATAAACAGATCGTGGTGTAAAACTTTTCGAAAATGTTTTATTTCTTTTGACAGTGTTTTTGTATGTAACTTTATATGTTTCTGATGCTTGTCTTTTACAATGAAATGATAATAAATATATACAAGCTAGTTCAATATATATTCCTTCAGCTTGATTAGAGCAAGAATACGAAATTAATCTCAATATTAAGTTCTACAGCTAGTCTTAAGACGGGTAGCGTGTAAAGGGTTTCAGCTGGTAAGCAGGTACAGGTTGGGTTATGATATATGAAAAACGAAATACTCATTAAATAATATGTATCCTACTTAAAAGTTATTCAAAGGTCCTAATCTAGTCAGACATATATTGTGAAAGTTTTATGAAATTATTATTACACTATGATATTTTTAGGTCCAACACATTTATACGTAAAGAAATGCGAAGCATGTCTCAATAAAATAATAACTATGATATATATTTGATTTCTACTACACTTTTTTGATAACTTATAAACCGGTAGATTTAAATGTGTCACCTAACTTGTTCCTTGGCTAACAGACAAATATAATATTTATTTCCGCTAAACAAAGAAACCATACAACTTTCGTTAAAATATCCAGACATTTATTGTGGTTCGATAGTTTTAAAAAAGTTAAATAAGTTTTTGTACAAACTTCACTCACAACGTTATATATTTTTACAGTATTAACAATGAGAAGAATGAGCGAAATTTGCTGTTGTAGAACTCAACAAGAAAAAGCAATATTTGTAGTTCATTATAGTTTCGTTTTTACAATATTTACAATGAGCAAAACGAGCGGAATGTTCTATTGTAAAACTCAACAAGAAAGTTTAATTTTCGTTAGTGGTAGTTTCGTGCTTTACAGCAGTGTTTCCAAGGTGTGAGCTGCAGATCCCTGGGGCTGTGAAGCTTTTTTCTGGGGGGGGGGGGGGGCGCCAAAAAATGGGCCGAAAACAAAGGTGCTGAATTGATTTTAATTATAAATAAACAATAAGCCGATAAAAATTATGTTGAATTAATCAAATTACAGGATTGCTTTATATTTTATAACGAAAATAAGATAACCTTACATAAAATTAAGTGTGTATTTAATTGATCATCAGTCTACAGATTTAACCCAAACATAATTAATTGTTGATGGTCTAATTATAATACATATAAATTGATAATAAAAGGCTACATTAAATTACAAACATACAATTTAATAGAAAAAAGTACTTCATAGATATCATTAAAGTTCAATAGTAAGTATTTTTTGAAATTCATAAATCACATTTTAAGGCATTTTTATAGGTTGGGGCTTCATACTTTTTTATTCACATCAAGGAAGTATGAGTCTAAAAGAGTTTAGGAACCACTGCTTTACAGTATTCACAGTAATAAGAATGAGTGAAACGTACTACTGTAGAATTGAATAAAAAGAGTCATAACAAAACACGTTGGCAAGGAAATAGGAAGAGTATGCCGATAGAAATATAAAAGAAAATACGTTTAAAACACCTACCGAAAGTAGAGGAGATGTGTTTCCGCTTTCACTTTCCTCTTGTTGGCAAAGTTCCTGATATGCAATGCAACGAAACAAATATCCATATTAGCTCAGAAATTACTGATAATAAGTTTGAGAGAAAGTAAAGAAGGGTGTAAAACAACTGCACACATATATAAAGTTTACCAGCCTTCTATACTTTATTTAGTTACAGAAATCCGTAAAATTAACGTAAATAATATTTTATACTATATTCTACTCTACCCTTTAAACATTTTCGAATTGTTTGACTATAAAATATTAAAATATTTGTTTACCCCATAAGATGCATTTTTCCATATTTGATGTATCAACCGATAGGAGGCGTCTCTTGACAGTAGTGATCCAAAAACAAACTATGGAAAAAAAAAGAAGTTACTTTCAAAAAAATGTGCCATAGTTATATATATATATATATTGAAGAATGCGAACAATCAACACATATATATATTTGAAAGTAAATTGTACAAATAATCAAAGGAAATCCACATTACTAAACGTTTTCAAGTACAATATTTTTTTTTTGTTGATTAACTAATAACAAACTTAAATTAATATAATTAATTGTTTTATTATCTACAATAACCCTCGCCTTACATCTCCATGAATATGATGTTGCATACAACCAAGTGCATTTCATGTCTAATAAATTCATTTTCGAAAGGCTTTTAAGCTCTTGTTTGTAAAACCGAACGAGGGTTTAAGCTGATAATATCAAAGGTGGTGTTCTGAGAGGTTGAACTATATACCTATAGAAACAGCACATTATGACAAGTGTAACTATTCTACAGTGTAGTAGAGAAAAATATAGACAATGAAAGATATTTGGTATTATAAAAAACTTAAGGGAAAACATATAACTTTTTATCCTAATTTTTAGTAAAATCTGACTTAGTATATTGTTTTAATCTCCAACAACATTAGCTTTGTTAAGATGTCGTTGATTGTTTAAAAGGCGAAGACACTGGGTAAAGATAGTGCTAACCTCTATCAATCCAAAGTGAATATTGTGATCGACTCAACGACACATTTTATGACCAGTTATAATTTCCGATAAATGAACGTAGTTACAACACATCTTAGTTAGTGGTCAAATATATAGTTCTAAACGAATATATTTTGTCATGATCACTTATATAGAACTGCTCCTAGCAACTGGACTTATAATACGTTACATTTAAATGTTATAATACCATCTTTAAATTATTTTAGATAATAGAGCATGTTTATATCTATACTTAAAATACTATGTTCATAACAGTGAAGTATTAAAGGCTTATAAAACTTAGACTATTATTACATTAGCTTAAACAGAGTGGTATGAGGCTGTACAGAATGTGAAGAATAATGTCACGCTTTGGAAGCTTTCACAGAACTGACGTCGTGGATTATCTTCACAATTACCTTGTCATGCATATTTCTCCCTCTTCTGCAATTACACTGTAAGAGACTAAATAAAAATAATGCTATGACACTTGTAGAAACATCAACGTTTGTAGCGCCCTCTTAGCTTTGTTACCTTAACCACGCAAACTTTAGAGGATTTTCTGCATGGAATCCGTATTCTTAGGGCATGCTGTTGTCACTGAGGAAAAAACTATATTGTCTTCCCACTAGTACTTGAAATTTGACAAACATATAGCGAGATTTATCTCCAATTTCGTATTTCGTTATTAAAAACGCCATATCAAATCTACTTTCTTTTCTAGTAAACAATCTGAAAAATATCTTAGAATTCAAGAAAACCTTTATAAACACTGGGGTTTTGGTTAATTAACGATGGTTTATGTAACAGCTTTTTTTTTCTTGCTAAAGTGGATTTTGAGATTCTATATATCTATTAATTATGATCTGACAGTTCCTTTTAATAGTTATTTTTAATTGTGAATATATTGGCCTTGATTACCATGATAACGATCAAAATTTCCATGAACGTTGCTGACTTAGAAGGACAAGATAATCCAGTTATATCACTAAATTTTTTTTTGTCCTTAGTCTTTAAAGAATGATCACAACTTTTCATATATAACTATAAATAGTTTATCGTATCGTATTTATGGAGTAAAACCTACTCCTTGGTAGTCTGAAAGTACAAAATACAAACCTTCCTAAAACTGCAACTAAACATGAACAGAGTTATATAAAATACTTGACACTTTAACGAAACTAGAAAATAAAACCATCAACGAAATACGCACACAATTACACATATTATTAGACATATAAAGGAAAGTTATACGCATTTTATTAAATTTCCGTTATATTTAGCTGATAATATTGTGAAACTGTTTCTACAATATACACATAAACACCACAAAACCTTTTCCTCGTGTGTTGTTATTCCAATGGCGTTGGGTATTATTTTCGCTGTACGTTCTTTGGTTACTCGGATAACATTCCCTACAGGAATCAAGAACTGAAATGGCATAGCAAAAATGCTGTATCAGTGGTTGAATAATGACTGATTTAATATACTACATATACGGTTTATAACCAAAACTTACATTCAATTACAAAGAAAATACAATCTCATGATAGATCGTGAAAGTTGAAACTTGTGTACACTAGATATTCTACCCAATCTCATATGTACATCGTATCACCAACCACTAACTTTTAAATTTTTTTGTGTCAATAGTGTATATATCACCAGTTTCCAATATCATAAGAAAACGTTTTTCCTGGAAGTTACGTGGAGTGTATATTATGAGTAATACTGAAGAATAGACCGGTGACTGAATTATGTTCTTTACCAGTTTCTCTGTTTATAGTTGAACACATACATGTATGTATATCATTGACACATAATAAGGTTTAGGTTTAACATGTCTGTTTTATGTATTTTTTGTTTTTGTGACTATTTATTGTTTGATTATTTCTAATATATTTTTGTGACTATTTATTGTTTGATTATTTCTAATATATTTTTAAAAACTTTCCATCTCCTATAATATGCTTGAAAATTAACTTCAACTACAACTGCTGTTGTTGAAATAGGGCAATATTTCCATACTCGCAGGTTTATGTGAGTGTTAATTGCTGTTTATGTAACTCATAAGCTATTTAGTTCTAAAATATTAATTTCTAGCAAAAGCCGGCCTTAAAAAAACTAACCTGGTTGCAATGTAGGAAGAATAAGATTCATTGCATTAATAAATTTGGATAAACATATTTACTACTTGTTAAAAAAAGTCATTGTAAGAAACATTTAATTAACATTAGCCATTATAATGTAAGAATGTATTTTACCAATAAGGTTGTTGTCTTTAAGGTGATAATCATAAACAATATAAATATATGTTAGACAAGTAGTTTTTTGCTCATTTTTCTAACAAGAGCTATAAATTTCTGAGGTAATTTACCAAATGACCTAGTAGTTTTTAAACAATTGAGCTATTTCAAAGCTACAAACTAAAAAACAATGTAACTATGAAAATCATGTTACCATGGTAATTGAGCTTAAAAATTTGGAGCTATTACTTTTTTGACCATTAAAGTCGCTAGGCAACTATAAGGAAAAACCTGCTAAAAGATTTACCGGTTTTATAGCATCGATTACGAACTTAGTTGATGTTTTTTCCCCCAGCCATTGTTACAAGCCTATCTGATGAGTAGTTTATAAGCCTGATGTTTAGAATTATTTTTTAACTTGCGTATTTTCCTTTTGTCCCTCGTTCAAATAAACAAGATAAATATATAAACTATCTTTCCTTCGGATGTGTAATATTAATGCCAATCTTTTATTTCAATATTAGAAAACTTCTTCTTGATAAAATTCTTGATTAGGATAGTTTATAGTATAGATATTTATGAGTTATTATCCGAAACATCGTCAACTCATTCTTAAAAAGTAACTTATGTCACTTGGCTGATAACTGGTGAGAGTGTCTAACTGGAATAGATAAATTAGCTTTACACTTATTACGTTATATAAAGTTAGCTTATAAATTATGTCTAATCTGATATGCAATCTTTTTTGTTAGGGTTATAACAAATGATTTATGTATTAACCACATAATGTATAATATCATTGACTATATATCAATGTGTAATATCATTGACATAAGTACAAAAACTTACTTAACACAATATCACGGTGAATAAAGAGACAGAGAAACAATAATAATCCTGTTTATTTAGTTATATTTTACATCTTTTTTAAATTATTGCATAAAGTAGCAGATACTACTAAAAATCTCAGTTTTTAGCTTTCGATAATTTACCATTGTCAAGGCAGAGAAGTCAGTCACATAACCGTTTGCTTAGAACATAAATAACCCTTTACTATCCATGCTTCACAAAATATTTGAATGAGCACAATAGTTTGGGGATCGAAATATTAATTCGAAGTCTTTTATATTCTAGAGGAAAAAAACATTTCCAAGGCGTTAAAACCCTTCTTACCTCTACACTTCATGAAGTTAAAACTCGTTTTACCTCTACACGTCATGAAGTTAAATCATGGACTTAAAGCTCCTTTAACCTCTACTCGTCATTGAGATAAAACTCTTTTTACCCCTACACGTCATGATGTTAAATCTCTTCTTATTTCCACACTTCATGGACTTAAAGCTCGTTTAATCTCTACTCGTCATTGAGTTAAATCTCTTCTTACCTCTACACTTCATGAAGTTAAAACTCGTTTTACCTCTACATATATATTGGTTAATCTCCAAAGTGCTCGTTAAAAAGTAGTAATGAAATTAACATGATTTCTAGTAAAAACCAATCTAACATGCAGCTATTATTTCTAAAATAGTGTTAACTGCATTCACCATAGATGTTTAATTCACAGTATTAGCTGACTTTTAGTTTCCTCCACACATGTCCTTCACTTAAAAAGATGCTGTCAACGCCTCACTTTTGTTAGTTAAACAAAGCCTCAGCTGCTGTAGTCAACCCAGTCAGTTTTAAATACCATGGAAAGGGGATGATAAACTATTCATCAAAGAGACTGAAGTCCTTATGTATGCGTGTACTACTTATGTGATGTAGCCTCAATTTGGTTGTTGTTACAAGCCCACTAATTGGCTCAAGAAAAAGAAATAACTCTCATAAGTTGGGCAAATAAATATACTAAATGTTACTTACAAATTTGAAACTATCAACTACTTAAATGCTTGGTTGAATCTATAAGTTGATTGTTTAAAATATAAACTTGCAGTTTTCAATAACCCTCGTGTTGAATGTTGTTAAAAGAAGTTATTGATACAATGTTTGCCCTGTAGTTAGTAAATGTCATATCTAATACTCAATGGATACTATAATATATATAAAATGTTAAATAGTTGTAAGCTAATAAAATTATCACATAATTTTAATCAATTCTTCCTTTCTTATCTCACCTTTGTTTTATAGCCAAAGATGTTTGAGTAGAAAGCAAAGTAGTTTTGTGAAAGGTAGAGATATCCTTGTAGCAGAATGTCAGACACTAGGGCACAGTGATAGTCTGTGTAATGAAAAACAAGTTAGCTGAAATGTAAGTTTATATGTTTGAGAAATGATATAATTATGTTTCCAACATTTCACTGAGATTTAATTTAAGCCAGCATATGGAAACAAAACTCAGTTCTCTTTTTTTTATATAAAAAACTACTCTAATCATTGATTATTTTTCCCCGTTCTAAATTATTTGCTTGTTTAGTTGCTCAAAGCTACACAACTTAGTATCTGCGCTCTTTCCATTGCAGGGAATCAAATCCCGGATTTTATTAATTTAAATTCCAATTGATGAAACACCGGTTTAAAAAAGAAAGCTAAAGACGGATCATTTCTTTGGTCTTTTCTTTTGCTACATGAAATATATATTTTTTCTATTAACTCTCAATCAAAGAACAACAAAAAACAATTCTGTAAAAATTTCAAACAAATCGTTATATGATTTATATTGCAGGCAGCGTTTCTCCCAAACTATCACTGAGTAACTTATGTTATTTTAGTGTTTAAAACATTAAGATATAACGTTGGAAAAATAATCCTATCTCTAAACTCAATAAACAATAAGTTAAAGTCTGTTCTCTATAGTATGCATGAAAAGTTTCGAAAATGTTCAGCTGCCTTAATATAAAATAATTAAAAAAATGCATAGTATGTTTACATACCACAACACTACACTAAATTATATTGCGAGTAATGGTGAAAAATGTCACTAGCATAGACTAGAGAGAGAAAGAAATAATTCAACCAGAGGAAGAGTTTATTTATTAATAGTTCATATTGTTAATTTAGTTTTTCCTTACAATATACTATTGTCATACATTTATTAATAAATTCTATCAAATACGAATGGCAATATGATAACTGTGATGTTTTGTTTAATAACAAACTTCTGTACTCAGAGTTTTGGACGATAATATATACGGGTCTATTTATATTTTAGAATTTCTGAGAAAAACTATAAAAATGCCATATGAGCATAGGCGTCCCTTATTTTGAACTGATTGACTATACGGAAAGCGGTTGGTCAACAGTTTAAGCTTGGGCTAACCCTTGTCTGTTCGAACAGAGGGATTCGAATCACTTTTATATCGTACTCACGGCCTCAAGTGAGGGGTGCGTTTTTGAGGTAAATGGAACGCGAACATTAACCCTCATATTCACAGTCTGGACGCTATGCCCAGCTCATGTGTGGTTGTGTGTGTGTGATTTGTAGTTACGAAAATATCCATGACATTTTAAAGATTTTAGATTTTTCTCTACAGATATCACGTATTCAAAACACAATCTCTTCAAACTGTCAACAATGATTGAATTTACTAAATAAACCCCTATATTATTTTTTATATTTTTGTCAAATTACTAAATATTTGTAAAGCTGCTTATAAGACACGAGAATAGTTAATGTAAAAATCTGAACAATAATTCCACCAATTTAATTAAGTAATCGTTGCTAGTGACTTTCAAAGTCACAA